TTATGGCTTATTCATTCATCCCTAGTTAGGGCATCCTATTTTACTGTTGCTTGTTATACAATCCCTTTGCTTATATAGACCCAATTCACATCGGCCTTTCTGATTGGCTGCCATTTTTTTTGCCAGACTTGATTAAGGAAGATCTGGGTTTCATTTACCAATTTCAAAAATGGCTGGTTCTGTTACATCGATCCCCATAATCTTTCTTACAATTCATCAGCCTGCTTCAGAAGCAATATAACTGGTAGTCTAGAAATAGATGGTTTTGAATACTTATACTTTAAAAATCAGGTCTCTAAGACTTTGCTCCTTCAATAGGACATTTGATGTTGAAAAGTAGTATCCATATTTGTATTTGTTTTTGTTTTTTTCCTCAGAGCTGAAGTTAATCAAAGCCTTAGGATACCTTTTATTAAAGGACAGAACAATCTGTTCACTATTCATTCCTTGTTATAATTATCCTAGAAATTCAAAATGAAAATATATCTATTCCATCTGGTCATGGTGCAAGAATATTCTAATGAAAGTTCTAGAGTCCTTGGGCTGACATCAAGGTATCCTCTTTCTAGGTATCCTAGAAAATTCATCAGTGTTCTTTCTATTCCTTTGAGATACTATTCTACAAAAATGTACTTCTTGCTACCAAAGAATATATTCTGTCAAACTTAAATTTCCCTTTTCTTAACTTTATCCCCTGAAATTTTTCTTATCTCCAGCCAAAATTCCTCTTTCCCCTTGGTGTTTAGACCCTCAAGTTATCTGTAGATTTCTATCATGCCTTTTGGGTCTGACTTTGTGGTTTGGCTACACTATAAAGTTCATATTTTGCTTTAAAACCATCATTGTAGATGATCTCCTCTGGATTCTCTCCAGTTGCTTATTTCTTTTCAGTCCTGAGGTCCAATATTCCAGGTTAGGGCATCCTATTTTGCCCTTGTTTGTTACATAATCCCAGTGCTTATATAGCCCCAAACCACACTGAACCTCCTGACTGACTGCCGTAGAATATTTCAGACTTCTATCTGATTGGCTCCCAACTCTTAGGCGGCATCACTGATTTTCATTTCATCCTGCCCATGTCTCTCAAACTGACTGTGATCCCTCTGATATCATTTCTACATTCTTAGTGATATCTGGGTTAAACAGTTCACAGCATCTCAGTCTCCCAAAAAACAAGTCAAAGGCTTGGCCCCCAAGCTTCTGAAACATGAAAAGGAGGACATGATTTTAGTCTGTGTGATGTGGGATATATGAGAAATGGGTGGAGAATTCTAATTACATGAAATAGCCATCCTGCCCCATGCCTAAATGATGTCTTGACTGGAAGCTAGAAATTTTTTGCAGCTGAACCAAGAGTGTTTCTTTAAGTTCCTATTCTAGGAGCTCCCTGAATGAATATAATAGCCAAGGCACTTAAACTACAATTGATGGATATCAGTGGAGGTAAATCTAAACTCACAGAATAATCCTATATGGGTGAGATTAGCAAAAACTCACTTTCTTAAACATCAAAGCAGCACTGAGGAACAGTGATCATTTTCCAAAGATGGAAACACTGTCATAGTTATTCTCTAGAAAGTAAATATAATGATTTGCAAGATAAAACGATATTTGAGAGACTGGGTCTTAACTGGTACTGTGATGTGAAAAGACTAAGATATAAATTTGACCCTCCACCTTGGAGAACAATTTAATATTATAATACCAAAAGAGATAATCAGAAAAAACCTTTATGCCAACACCAAAGGGAGAAGGCACTGAACATGTCCATACCATATGCTAACTCAAATTTAGTGTTGTACTCAAGATCATCCACTCGAACAGTTTGGTCCTGACTCTTTAATCAACTGTTATTAAGACAATATAATAGCAACACTTGTTGGAACTTCCTCTACGGCAGGCACTGGGCTGAAATTATGCATACACTATCCAAATCAACACACACACACACACACACAGACACACACACAGACACACACACACACTGAGCTATTATACTTAACCCCCATTTTACAGATGAAGAAAACCAAAATCTAGAAGCATCCCACAGGTCATCCCCTAGGTAAAAGGCAGAGCCAGTAATCAGATTCATGTGATTTAACCCTGCCCTCTAACTCTTGCAGGACTAGAATTGCAGATTAAGAAGCTATTCACTTTGGAAGTGCTTTGAGACCATTTCCGGATGGATTTCAATTTGTTGATTTCTCATCTAACTGTGTGACCTTGGACACATACTCCACAGCTCTCATCCTCACTTCCCAATCTGCAAAATCATATCCACTCCAGAGGGCTGCTGAGATGAGTAAAGGACCTAATATATGCAGCATGCTTAGCATAGAGCATCCTGGAGAGAACGAGCACAGTGATGGGAGTTATTACTATAATCTAGACAAAACTGATAAATTTTAACTACTTTATGAATCCAGCTATATTGAATAACCATCCCTAATGCGAGTTTACCTAGTCTTAGGTAATCTATTCAAACATTTCTAATTTGCTAATGAATCCTTTGTTT